CACACACACACACACACACACACTCTGTGTAACACACCATCCATGTAACTACACATACATTCTACATGTAAACTTCATTTTGTGTGTCTAATGCTTAGTTTATCTTATAATCATGTTATTATTGGTCACATTTTTACAGAACAACAGGAATTAGTTTATTTCCAACATTTCTGGTTAATTATCTGTCAAACGGATGAATTCAAATCATTCCACCGTGTCCCCATGTTTTTGGACATTTCCACTTCCTGTGTGTGTGTTTGTCTCCCCCGTCCTCCAGTGTCACACACCTCATTATTTGATTTGATTTATCAGCTGATGACTCTGTGTCCCTGCAGCAGTGTTTTATATTTCCATCGTGGTCACACTCTGATGTTGTTCCTTTATTCCTCTTCGTGGTTCCTGTTGCACGTCCGTCACTCGTTCTCCGTCACTAACACACATTCCACAATAAACCTGTTGAAACCATCAGTTCCCTGGTTTGTCTGTATTAACCGTGTTCATAACTTCTCTCCATCCTCAGTGTTGTAGATGTCTGTTGTTACTGTTGCATGCTGTCACCATCATTAGAAGTTCATTAGGATTTTCTGTCAATGTTTTATTTCCTCATCTCATGTTCTTCACCCACTTCCATCCTGGGGCTTTGTTTGATGCCTGAACCACTTTAGACTTTTATCATTTGAGGCTGTTTTCACCGACTATTGATAAAATAGCTGCAAACGAATCATCTTTATTCGTTATTATCTTTGTGGTTATTTCTGGAAACTTGAGTAGAACGAGAGGAAAGTCCGACTTTAGAGTTAGTCAGGAATGATAAGGTTTAGAGTTCCAGCTGCTAACACCGGTCCAGATGTTTGACGTCTCTCAGTAAGAGAGGACTGATCCAACCTGTAAAAACCTCTCCGAACTTTTCTAGTGTTTGAAAAACTTCCTCTGGAAATAAAAAGGGTTGATCCAGGTTTTAGTAGAAGTCCTCAGGGTTAGTTGAGCTGCAGTAAAAGCCGCCACCATTGGTCCAGGTCCGGTCAGACTCTAAGTTAAAGCTCCCAGGATTGGTCCAGGTCTCGCAGTCCTTCAGTAAAAGCTCCCAGGATTGGTCCGACCCCCTGAACGTTCTCGTCCGGGCCTTGAAGAGCTCAGTCACAGGGTAATAAGCATCCGCTTGGATTGGGTGTGGTGTGGAAAAATAAAATCTGTTGTTGATACTAGGCCAATCGCACTCTCTCCCCTCACCAATAACGACGCCCAGTCATGAGTTCCAAGCAATTTCCTGATAATTGTTTGAGATCTGTCGTTCTTCTCTGCGAGCTTCTCTCTCCTCACCTCCTCCATGTTGTGTGTTTTTATAATGCAGTGGTGTCGTGACCTGTTTAATGCATGTTGTGCCTCTGTGATCTGTGCATGACCCTGCTGGTTCTTTGTGCTGTTAACAAACTACGCAGATGTTTCTCTAATTAGCTCTTGAATCCAGCGCTCACACATTTACACTGCTTCTAAAAAAAAAAACCTCCAAATTGAAACGAGCAGATGCAGCTGACGTCAGATGTCTGAAGAAGATTTTCTGTGAGTTCGTTGTTTTAGCGTGAACACGGAGAAAGTTCAGTGAAGTAGAATCTTCAGAATGTCGTAGAATCCCGACGCTGATTAAAATGTCATACTTCAGTCTGATTAAATCCACCTCATATGACCCACAATGCATTGAGGCGTTACAGTTCAGTGTAGAGAGTCTGTCGCCTGTGACTCTGCTCTGCTCTGCATGTCGCAGCTCTGATTCCTGATCCGCAGCTTCTGAGTGTCTGAGATCAGTTTAAAGCATCGTGAGTGACACTCGGATCTCTCCGCTGACGCTCTCCTCTGTTTCCAGGAGAACGTTGACGGGGGCGAGGTGGTGAACGGGGTGTCGGAGCCCAGCCCCACAGGGTCTCCTGGGGCGTCTCGCAAGGGCAAGGGCAGCCAGGCGGCGACGCTGCCGGCCAAGAGCCAGCAGGACGCGCCCACGTCCCAGCTGGAGGGCTTCCTGCACCGCAAACACGAGTGGGAGGGTCATAACAAGAAGGCTTCAAGCAGGTAACATCTTCAGCACGTTCATGAAGGAGTCTGACGTCTTCACGGGGTCACGTCAGACATCAGATACTCATTACATCTGTGAAGACATTTGTTGTATTAAAGTAATTAAACCTGTAGCTGAGTTGTGTTCTTCTATTTCATCTTCAGACTTTTTCATTCAGTCGCCTGTTGGTGGCGTCACATCTCATTCGTCTCCTCTGACTCTGTCCCCGCAGGTCGTGGCACAACGTGTACTGTGTGATCAACCAGCAGGAGATGGGATTCTACAAAGATCAGAAGAGCGCCAGTCAGGGAATCCCCTACCACAGCGAGATCCCCGTCAGCCTGAAGGACGCCGTCTGCGAGGTGGCGCTGGACTACAAGAAGAAGAAACACGTCTTCAAGCTCAAGTGAGTCTCAGAGGACGTAAACTTCTAGAGTGCTCCACAGTTTGAATAAACATCCATAAATTAAAACACAAGTACACCTGCAGAACTTTTTATTTTAATCTGATTAAACTTTAACTCACATTCTTTAAACTTCCTCTCAATGTTCATACTGATGATTATTTAACGAGCTCTTTAACTTTCACAGAATCACTGACGGGAACGAGTATCTCTTCCAAGCCAAAGATGACGTAAGTTAAAAGAAAATATT